ATAAAATGTTATGACCATTATACTAGAGGCTATCTAAGAAGAGTTCGAAAATGGTTGTTGGAGGATTTGTTCATCGCGAATGCGAGGGGAGGGTCGCGAACGCGAAGAACAAACCCCTGGGCAGAAGAATAAAGTCCAAGTTTGTCTTATTCTTCCATATTTGGACCAAGTAAGCTCGGGTGAGGCGACCTTTCGAGAGTATTTCAAGGAAAACATTGGGGTAAGAATTTCTAACTTGATTTTGGTTAAATTACATGAATCTATTGTTGTTTTTATCACTAAATCAGTGAATTGGGTTGAAAATGGTAGAAATTCTCTAGACTTTAATTTAAGATTTGAAGGGCGATCTGTTATCGGAATTTGATAATTTTGGTATTGTTGAACTCGTATCGGAATGGGTGTTCGGATTTCGTAAAAATTCTGTCGGCTTCCAAGGGAAGGGCCCGGCGTTGACTTTTTAGAATAAAATTTTAAGTTGGTGTTTTATTATCTGGAATTGTTTTCGATGAATTTTAATGAAGTTATACAGTTAATTTGGATAGATTTGAGCTGTCTGGATGTCAATTCAAGCAAGAAGGCTATTTTGGAATATCAGCCTAACTTTAAAAATGTAAGTATCTTGCCTAACTTTGAGTGGAGGAATTGCCCCCTAGGCATCGAGTTTTATGTTCCATTTGTGAAATATTAAAAGTCGTGTACGCGAGGTGACGAGTACGTACTCGGGCTTATATGTGCAAAATTTATTGGGTTAAAGTCTTAGGCATATTGTGTAGTAAATTGGATAATTCTTGGCATTTATTAAATCATCTATTTTTCATGCCTCAATTTGCGTTTGTTAAATTTATTTTTATATGACAATTTGATATGATTATTATTTGTATATTTATGTGAATTTCGTAAGTTTGGTGATTTGATATTTTCTGAAAATAATAACATTATGGATTTTACATCTGTAAATAATTAATGAAATAAGTTTAAACTAAGGCGTTAATATAATTATCAAGAATTTGGATTAATGAAGGTGTTGCCCTATACTGAGTATTTTCCATCTCTGTTGTTGTTTTGAGGTTTTATACACATTGTGTAGAGCCTTGGGCTATTTGTTGTGATATTAATTGATTTTTTTATATTTTTGGAATTGATTGTGGTCATTGGGCAAATTGTGATATGAATTGATTTTGTTCTGTTGCCGTGATAATATTCCATGTAAATTGTTGTGTTATTTGAGTTATTATTTTGAGGATATAAGGGTGGCATTCCACTGTTGATATTATGTGGGTATAAGGGTGGCATTCCACTGTTGATATTATGTGGGTATAAGGGTGGCATTTCACTATTGTTATGTGTGTTAGAATATTATCTGGGCGGAGTGATAAGGGTGGATATAGGAGAGATAAGGGTGGTCATAGGAGCAATAAGGTTGTCTATTGATATTGTCAGAGCAGATGGATAAGGGAGGCTATAAGAGCGATAAGGGTGGTTATTATAGGAGTGATAAGGGTGGCTATTGTCAGGGATGATATGTAATGATGCGGAGTTATTGTGTTGGTAATATTTATGTGATGTTGTGATTTTCCTTGTGTTTGACTTTATATTTTGTGCAATTTGTCTTGATGTTTCGGTAAACTTGATAATAGTCTGATCTATGTTGAAATTGGGAGCATGTGGCTATTGCTAGACGGATTATGAAATGAAATATAGGCACGAGGTGCCGTGAGTAATAATGATGATATTGGCACATGAATTGTCTGTGCAGTTGTGATATGAAATGTGGGCACGAGGTGTCGTGGTTAAATGATGATGATATTGACACGTGAGTTTTCCGTGCGGTTGTGATAGAAAAATTGGCACGAGGTGCCGTGAGTAATAATGATGATATTGGCACATGAATTGTCTGTGCAGTTGTGATATGAAATGTGGGCACGAGGTGTCGTGGTTAAATGATGATGATATTGACACGTGAGTTTTCCGTGCGGTTGTGATAGAAAAATTGGCACGAGGTGCCGTGAGTAATAATGATGATATTGGCACATGAATTGTCTGTGCAGTTGTGATATGAAATGTGGGCACGAGGTGTCGTGGTTAAATGATGATGATATTGACACGTGAGTTTTCCGTGCGGTTGTGATAGAAAAATTGGCACGAGGTGCCGTCAAAATATAAAAGTGGGTTGAGACCCGTATTTTATGATTTTGAAATGAGGTGTCACATGGTGACTTATATTCGAAAGTTATTTATTTGAAGGAATTATATTTGAAAGAGATTTATTTGAAAGAATTATATTTGAAAGAAATTTATTTGAAGGGAGTATATCATAAATATATTTATTGGAAAGTAGTACATCCTGAAGATTATTATTTGAGAAGCATATAGGCGAAAGATTTATATTTGAAGGACTTGATTAATTGGGTGTACTTGTATTTATTATTTGTTGAGAAATATTAATGGTATTCTTGTTGCCCTGCTATGTATATCACCGGTTGATTACTGTTGTCATTATTGTTATTTGGTTTCCTATTATTTTTGTGTACTATATTGCACAGGTTATTAGACTAGTGAGTGTCTTGACTATACCTCGTCACTACTCCACTGAGGTTAGTCTTGATATTTACTGGGTACCGACTATGGCGTACTCATACTATACTTCTGCACATTTTTTGTGGAGAGCCAGGTATTGGAGATATCGGACTCGAACTGAGTTAAAGTGTGATCGCAAGGATTCAAGGTAGAGCTGCTTGGTCGTCGCAGTCCCTTGGTGTCTTTTCATTTTATTGTACTGTTAATTAATAATCAAACAGTATTGAATATTCAATCCTTGAGATTATTCCATGTATTCAGTAAGAGTTCGTGACTCAGTATTATCAGTCTTGGGAGGTTTTTTATATTTGTTTCCGCTTTTGGTTTCGATTATCTATTTAAAAACACTGGCTTGAATTGTAATTGTAATCGACTTACTTAGTCTTAGAGACTAAGTGCCATCACGACGACTGTGGTGGAATTTTGGGTCGTGACATATATTTTGAAGGACTTGATTAATTGATTGTACTTGTATTTATTATTCGTTTGAGCATTATTTAAGGTGTTCTTGTTGCCTTGTTGTTTAAATCACTAATGATTGATGTTGTTATCACTCCCATTTATTTTCTATTATTTTTGTATGTTATATTGCATAGGTTATTTGACTAGTGAGTGTCTTGATTGTACCTATGTCACTACTCCACCGAGGTTAGTCTTGATACTTACTAGGTACCGACTGTAGTGTACTCATACTATACTTCTGTACTATTTTTTGTAGAGCCATGTATTGGATATATTGGATTCAGACAGAGACTAGAGTATGATCACAAGGATTCAAGGTAGGACTGCTTGGTCGTCGCAGTTCCTTGGGGTCTTTCCATTTTATTGTACTGTTAATTTCTTATTCGAACAATATTATATATTCGATCCTCGAGATTATTTCATGTATTCAGTTAGAGTTCGTGACTCACTATTACCAGTCTTGGGAGGTTGTTATAATTATTTCCGTTGTGGGTGTCGATTATCTGTTTTTTTTATATAAAAAAAAAACTTGAATTGTTATTATAATCGGCTTACCTAGTCTTAGAGAGTAAGTTCCATCACGACGCCTGTGGTGAGATTTTGGTTCGTGACACGCGTGTTCGGAGCATTGAATGCGAAGAGAAATACGTCTAATCAACCGTCAGTGACCTTCAAAAGGAATTATAGTAATTCCCGCTAAAAGAATGTTTCTACCAACTTTTCTGTAACACAAAGTTGTGTCATCGGAAAGCAGGGGAGTTATCTGTATTAGGTAAAATATGTTATGATACGTGGCCACCCAAGAAGGGGACACGTGAAACCTAAGCCGGGAGGACAAAAAAACGGACGCAATTATCTTGTGTTTCACCGAAAAAGATAACGTTCGTGAAGGCATTGAATACTCTGCACCCGGTAATATTTAATGGGGAATATTCCACAGCATTAAAGAGCAATGACCAGTTACAAAGAATTTGGTATTTATGTCCACTATTACGTCTCCATCAATGCTCCTCATAATTGACACTAAAGAAGGGCATGACCCTAGTATCTTCTTCATAGCTATAAATAATAAGCTCAATGATCATTGTAAGAAACAGGAATTTTCTGGCTAACTTGTACTACATTCTATACAGAATTTTAATACCATTCTACTTTCTCGCTTTTTGATCTCATCATTATTGTGCCCAGAAACCCTGTTTTCGAACTCGTCTGCTCCGTCATTTCATCTACATTTTAAGGCTAAGTATTTTATATTTCATCAATTATTTCATTACTTTTTGGATCAAATTAATTCACTTGTCTAAAAACAACGAACAAATTCAACTGTAGTGCTAAATGATGCAAATAAGAAATGGACGAGGAAATTTGTTAATTTATGTTTTTCCCTTTAATGAAATGTATTTTATTATTAGTGTCACCATCTTTTTAATTTATTTTAATACCTTGCCTATTACGTCAAAGAATAGATATTAAGTGGGAAAGAGAAGAGAAATCGTGAATCATGTTCTCTAGTTGTTGAGAAGAAAAAGAAATATATAAGTCAACAATAAAAACTAAATTGGTTTACATCAACAATAACAAACTCAGTTTGATTATATAAATGAGTTTTGAGGAGAATAATAAGATTGGTTTCTTTTTAGTATTTCTGGGAAATACCAATAATTTCAAACTGACAGTATAAGTTTGGATCTGTTGTTAGAATAAAATAAATACAACGGATATACAGTCTGTCTGCATTTGTTTCTTTTATATAAATTTCTTCTGATTTTGATATTTACACAATAATTAGATATCCGAAAAAGCCATCAAATAGTACAGACCTTATTCTTTGTATAATTACATCTTGGAATTAATGATTTCCATGTGCACGACATTTTCATTCGACGTGATTATTTAATTTTAATGCTGACGAAGAAAGCATTGCATGTTTATATAATTATATGCTCATCACACATGATTACAACCCACCAACTGAAAACCAAGGCTCTCCATATATATATTTCTTCTTGGAAAAATTAAAGTTAGTATAGAAAATTAAGATCATTTTAATCCAAGTTTTAGAGTCATTCAAAATGTCCACCAAAATTACTTGTTCAAATCCATTTTACAATCTTTCATACAATCAAAGTATTTCCCAAAAATCCCATTTTTCATATTCAAGGCCGGTGCTATGTAGAAAATCCCATCTAAAGAAGATCAACAAGCCTCTCAATTTCGTCAATTCCAATGCAAAAAATGAAATACTCACGTAGGTTTAATTTCCATTCCCCCTTTTTTCTGTTGTATATAATTCCATTTTTTAACTAATTAAGTATGCATTTTTTCCCCTTAGTGTGAAGTGCAACTCAGCCAACAGTACTGGATCAGATGCTCCACCTCCTGGCAAATCTCCATTCTTTGGATGGTATAGAGTTAATTTCTTTTTCCCTTTTATTTTTTGATAATTTTACACAAAAAGCCAGTCTGATTCACTGTTTCTATGAGGTATACATATATTATACACTAAATATATACAATAATACACGTATTATTCAGAGATTGTACTTATATTTTATATCCGCCGGCTTATTTTTAGTTTAAGCTGTTGGGTGGGCGGGCAGCTATTTGGTTGTCTGTTCAAGTAACTTAATATGATTGGATCAAACCCTAAAAAAAATATCTATTGAAGGTTTTCTGGGGGTGATCGAATTTTGAAGTTTTTATATGTTATATGCAGGAAATGGTTGTTGGGATTTCTTCTACCTATAATACTACCTTCATTTAGGAACAAAGTCAGTCCTCTACAACTACTCAAAAGTATGTAAACTTTTATTTGAAGTATGTGAATTCCTATATTTAATTATCATAATGTTTATAGGAAATAGTATTCAATTTCTGGATTTTGCATTTGAAGATAATGTGAAACAAGCAGTAGAAACAGTGGAAAATATGAGTGAGATAGTAGAAGAAGTTGCTGAGAAAGTAGATAAAATTGCTGAAGAGATTGAAGAGAAACTTCCAGGGGATTCAAAGCTTAAACAAAGTCTTGATTCAATAGAAAATTTAGCTGAAGGGGCAGTCAAATATGCCAATCAAGCTCAAGATGTCATTCAAAAGGTCAATCTCTTGATTTTATTATTTCCTTAAAATTAAACTAGCCATCTCTTCCTCTCCCAACAAATCTAGGTTAAGAAGATGTGATAGCGCGTTCTCTATAAGGATTTTTTTGAGGTATGGAATATTTCTTATGAGGCGATATATATCTTCTTTTTGTTTTAAATACTGACGTATTTTATGTGAAGAAGTTTGACCGATAGAGAAGTTAAGAAATTAAAGAAAAGATTTTTTACCCGTATACCAAATATCTGTAAAGTATAATTTATCCTTTGTATCAAATGAGTCACAACAAGTCATCTCGTTAAAGTTAAAATAAGATTTTAGGACATGCTTAAAATGAATGTGTGGCTAGAACAAGGAATACAGACATAGTTCTTTTGTTAATTACCTTTATTTCTTTACTTATGTAGTTTTTTAGGTTAGTAAATGAACAATGTTCTAAAGATTGACCCTAAGCGAAAAAGCAAAATATTAGACATGATCTCTTGAGTCATAAAAATATATTGTTGACTTGTTTGTATAAAACTCCATCAATTGCATAAGCGAAAGGTAATGAGATAGGTATGATATAAACAAATCGTGTACACTTAATAACATTAATAATAAGAGTTTAAATTTTATGCACTATAATATAGGATTAGGCTACTTATAAAATAATTACTAGTACATCTCTATGATAAGTATGATAATATGGTAAAAATATATCATAGGTTAAACTATAATGATAATGAATTGTTTTTAGCATTATCTGTGTGTATAATTTTAGTACATGATAATAATATTCTTTCTTTTTTTGGGATATATATTTACAGATTAAGGATATGGACAAAGAGATGGATACACTAATTCACACTAACAATGCAAATCAGGTTGAGAAGGTCAGCCAAGAATTAAGCGCCAAGAAAAATTAGTCATTACTTACATACTGCAGTTTATCAATGCCATCAAAAGTAGGCGTTATTTAGATTTTATCAGTGTATTTTTCATACTTAGCCAATTTTATTTCATTTCGAGCTTGTTAGATATCGTATTAAACATTAACGCGTAGTCTATTTGCATCAATTATGTTTATTTAATTAATATAATGTACAAAGTACTGCAATTTATTCATTAGCACGTGTTTTTCAAATAAAATATTTCTAAGAAATTAACACCAATTATCCGCCTATGATGCACATGAATTCCAACAGTAAATTGTTGGCTTGTTGGATATGACCCTTTTTATTAAATCAAAAGAAATATCATATCGATCTCGATCTGACTTTTCCAGTTATTGCCACCGAAACATTTTGATATTTGTCTCACATAGTGAAAGCAAAAAGAATATTATAAGATTATCAAAACTAGACATGTCGAAGGTAGGATCCCCATGTTCCTCCATGTGAGCAAACGCGAAACAAAATTCGAATTTAGCCAAATGTGTAAATTGACTTGTATAGTGCGAATAAATCTACAAGTCTTAAAGAAATTAAGGGAATGTGACCCCAAAGGTTATCTAGAGTTTTAAGCATTTTATATTCTGAGACCTCAAATAGCTCCTTTTAGCCTTCTTCAATTTGCATGCGCAATCCGAATCTTTTTCCGAAAAGCTCTTATGTGAAAAATTTATTAAAATGTGAATATGTGCCTTAAAAATCCATTAGAGTTGACTTCCATTTTGAGCAAACAGACTGAGATTCGTATTTTGACAGTCCTGGTGGGTCTGTGTCGTGATTTGGTACTTGGGCATATGCCCGGAATCGAATTCGGAGGTCCCTACCTCGAGTTATCGCAATTTGTTGAAAAATTGAAGTTTAAGGGTTTAACAAAATTCATGAATTTGACCGAAATTTGACGTTTTTGCTACCGGGTCCAGATTTTGGTTCCGGAGCTTGGTATAGGTTCATTATTATATTTATAACTCGTCTGCAAAAATTAGCACAAAACAGAGTTGAATTGACGTGATTCAGACGTCCGATTGTTAAAATAGAAATTCCTAAGTTTTATCGAAAATTTTATTTGATTTGGTATACGATTCGTAGTTCTAGGTGTTATTTTGATGTTTTGATCGCGAGCAAGTTTGTATGATATTTTTGGACTTGTGTGCATGTTTGGTTTGGAGCCCCGAGGGTTCGGGTGAGTTTCAAATAGACTAGAGAGTGATTTTGGAATTAGAAGCATTGCTAATGAAGTCTGGTTCTGGTGCATCCTCTGATATCGCAATTGTGAGGTCCATGTTCGCATTTGTGAACTGTTAAGGTTCCTATCAGGTTTGTATTTGCGAACAAATTGTTCGCAAATTGTTCGCATTTGCGAAGTAGTACTGGGGGAGTGGTCCGCAATTGCGATCAAAGGGTCGCAATTGCGTAAGTCCCAAGTTCGCAATTACGAACAAAACCATCGCATTTGCGATGGTAGAAAAGATGGGGCCTTCGCAATTGTAAAGGATTTCTCGCATTTGCGAGGTTCGCAATTGCGAACCCCAGGTCGCAATTGCGACATATGCGCTTGGACTTAAGAAAAGAAAAACAGGATTTTAGCTCATTCTTTCAAATTCTCAACCCTAAAAACCTTAGAGGCGATTTTTTCCAAGAGCTTTTCTTCCTCAATTCATTGATAAGTGACTCTAACCTATTTTCTTTCAATTACACATTACATTTCATAAGATTTCAACTTTAAATCTCGAATTTTCATGGTAGAAATTGGGGATTTGGGTAAAATTAGGGATTTTTGTAAAATTAAAATTTAGACTCAGATTGAGGTCGGATTTCGAAACAAAGAACATAACCGGGCTCGGGGGTGAATGGGTAATCGGGTTTTAGTCTGAATTTCAGGTTTGGACCAAGCATTCCCTGGATTGACTTTTTCAATAGAGACCTAAATTGAACCTCTTTCATTCGTGGGTAGTTCCTAAGGCTTATTTTTGAATCATTCGTAAATTGCTATATTTGGCTGGTTCGGAGGTTGGTTCGAAAGGCAAGGTTGTGGTTGGTCTTTGAGTCGATTTTGGAGCGAGGTAAGTGTCGTGATTAACCTTAACTTGAGGGATTAGGACTTGTTTGCATATTTGCTACGTGTTTAAATATTTGGGTACAACGTATATATGAGGTAACGAGTATTTATGCGTTGTTGTTGGGTTAAAGCATGGAGGTGGGACTTGTTTCATTATAATTTATTACCTTCTTTGATTATGATAACCATGCTTAGACTAATTTATTTCTTAATTGATCATTCTTTCTGCATTTATGAACTATTTGTGATATTTGAGTACTTTTGGAAGTTGAGGTTTGGTATTTTTGAACCGTTATTGATATAAGGTTTGTTCTTGCTTATTCTACCTCCCAAATGTTATATATTCATTGCTACATAGTAAGGGGGAGTGTTAAAGAATGAAGGGTGATGCCATGCCGATTATTATTTTAATTATTGATTAATACATAGTAAAAAAAGAAAGTAAAAGCACGAAGGGTGATGTCGTGTCGTATTTATCGTTTCATGACGAAATTGAGAGTAAACGCATGAAGGGTGATATTGTGCGGTATTTATCATTTCATGGAGAGATTGAAAGTAAAAGCATGAAGAGTGATGTCGTTTTATTACTATTGTTTCATGGTGAGGTTGAGAGTAAAAGCACGATGGGTGATGCAGTGCAGTCTTTATTCATTATGTTATCCGTTTTAATTGGTTGGTGATTTACTTGACTGTCTTATGTTGACATTCCCGTTATAGCCATCGTATTATGTTCCCCTTCACATGTCCCCTCCCACTAGTACGTGTTTAATCTCTATTTGTTGTCATGTTGCACGTATATCTTCGTTTGTACAGGTTTGATTACGTGGGTGTCATGTCATAGCCTTGTCACTACCTCGTTGAGGTTAGGCTCGATACTTACGGAGTACATTGGGCCGGTTATACTCATACTATACTCTGCACTTCTTATGTGGATTTTGGTACTTATCTCAACTGTCCGTGAGGTGCATCTGCTCGGATTAGCTTATTTGGAGACTCGAGGTAGATCTGTTGGCGTGCGCAGACCTTGAAGTCCCCTTCCTCTTTCCTTGTTTCTTGTTCATTTCATTCGAGACAGTTGTATTTATTTCAGAATCTATTTGTAGAATATCTAGAAGCTCGTGTACTTGAGACCCGGGTTATACTTAGATAATTGTGTTATTATTCTATTTCGTATTTGTTTTAGTTTCATTTCTGTTTAATTGGTTAAATTGTTCAAAGTGTTTAAAAATTGGCAAAAGAATTATTCTAACGTTGGCTTGCCTAGCGAGTGAAATGTTAGGCGCCATCACCGCACCGAAAGTGAGAATTCTGGGTTGTGACAAGTTGGTATTAGAGCATTAGGTTGTCTAGGTCTCATGAGTCACGAGCAGGCAAATTGCTAGATTTTTCCCCCGGGCAGCACACAACAGCAGAGTTCTCGTGCCATGGGTCCGGCACCGGTTGCTTCACCGCCCGCTCAGCCAGCTAGAGGCAAAGGCCAGACATCCATAGGTGGAGGTCAGGCTGTTAGAGGTGGAGGTCAGGCCATTAGAGGTGGAGGTTAGCCAGTTAGAGGCCGTCCCAGAGACGTGGTTCATAGTAGTAGGGCCCAACCACAGAGTTATGCTTTCCCGGCTTGGCCTGAGGCTGAGTCATCTGACGATGTCATCACAGGTATTGTTCTAGTTTGCCATAGAGATGCTTCAATGCTATTTGATTCGGGCTCTACTTTTTCCTACGTGTCATCCTATTTTGCTTCAAATCTGGTTGTGCCTCGTGATTCTTTGAGTGCTCTTGTGTATGTCTCCACACCTGTGGGAGATTATATTGGTATAGATCGTGTCTATCGTTCGTGTGTGGTTAATATTGGGGGTCTTGAGACTAGCGTAGATCTTTTACTTCTTGATATGGTAGATTTTGATGTCATCTTAGGTATGGATTGGTTGTCATCTTATCATGCTATAGTGGATTGTCACACCGAGACGGTGACCTTAGCCTTGTCGGGGTTGCCTCGATTAGAGTGGAGGGGGACTCCTGGCTATTCTACCAGTAGAGTTATCTCTTATGTGAAGGCTCGACGTATGGTCGAGAAGGCGTGTCTAGCTTATCTGGCTTATGTCCGCGATTCTAGTGCGGAGGTTCCTTCCATGGATTCAGTACCAGTTGTTCGTGAGTTCCCAGAGGTGTTTCCTACAAATCTGCCGAGGATGCCACCCGACAGAGATATTGACTTCTGTATTGATTTAGCTCCAAGCACTCAGCCTATTTCTTATTCGCCATACCTTATGGCCCCGCCATAGTTGAAATAATTGAAGGAGCAGTTGCAAGAATTGCTTGATAAGAGCTTCATTATACCTAGTGTCTCGCCTATGGGTGCACCTGTGTTGTTCGTGAAGAAGAAAGATGGATCGATGAGGATGTGCATAGATTATCGACAGTTGAACAAAGTCACCATTAAGAATAAGTATCCATTGCCGAGGATTGATGACTTATTTAATCAACTTCAGGGTGCTAAAGTGTTTTCGAAGATTGATTTGAGGTTGGCTACCATCAGTTGAAGATCAGGTCATCTGATATCCCTAAGACAGCTTTTCGGACTCGGTATGGGCATTATGAGTTTCTAGTGATGTCATTTGGGTTGACAAATGCCCCAATAATATTTATGGATTTGATTAACTGGGTGTTCAAGCCCTACTTGGATTCCTTTGTGATTGTAATTATTGATGACATCTTGATCTACTCCCGCAGTCGAAAGGAGCACAAGCAGCATCTTCAGATTGTACTCTGAGAGATAGCCATTTGTATGCCATGTTTTCAAAGTGCTAGTTTTGGTTAGACTCAGTCACCTTTTTAGGGCACGTCATATCGGTAGAGGGCATAAAGGTGGATCCTAAGAAGGTTGAGGCAGTTTAGAACAGGCCTAGACCCACTTCAACTATAGAGATTTGGAGTTTCCTGGGTTTGGCGGGTTACTACCGCCGGTTCGTGGAGGGGTTTTCATCTATAGCAGCCCCATTGACCAGGTTGACCCAGAAGGGTGCCCCGTTCAAATGGTCAGACGAGCGTGAGTTGAGCTTTCAAAAGCTCAAGACTGCTTTGACTTTGGTGTCAGTGTTGGTGTTGCCTATAGGTTCA